GAGGTTGTCAGTGGGTGGTTATCTTTTTTTCCCCCTTCTGCTCTGTGAATACCAAAGAGCTGTTTGGAAATCCAAACCCTGAACTCTTCAAGTAATGCTACAAGAAAACTTAGAGATATTGTCTGAAAATGCTGTACCAAGCTTCATATTTCTTACGCAAAAAACTAACAAATGAAAAATAAAACATGTTTTTTTCTTCTTGTTATTATTTAGCCTTTTAGTTTTTATGTAAAGTTGCTAACATACCCATAAGTAAAAAAACAACAACATAATTATCCCAGTAAATCACTGTACTCTTCAATCAAATAACATTAGTAAAAAGGGAAGATTGAGAGCAAGCGCTAAAGTGAAAGACGCTGTAAAAGGAAGTTGAAACGTGCTCACATGCCCATGTTACATGTGGCCATGTTCTCTATCCTTAAAGAAGTCCAGACAGACACACAAACAGGTAGGTCTGCAACTATCTGCTTAATGCTTTCACATAATGCAATTAATTTGGTAACTAGGTTGAAATACACAGGAGGTTTATAGAGTTGTTTTTAACATGCTAATTTCTTGTAGAAACATCTGTTTGTTGAACGGTTTTTGCAAGACTGTACAAACATTCACAATTTTTCCTTTACAGTCTAATGTCTATAATTTGACATTTGCACTTGTACATTTTTTTTCCACAACCTAACTTAATAACAGGAATATAAACATAAGGAGACTATCTTCTTGCTCACTTTGTGTCTTTATAGGTTAGAGTCAAAACTAGTTACAATGCAGGGGAGTCAGAGACCACAATTCATCTGTGGACTGCGATACATAACAATAGGTGAGAGAGTGATGTGTTAAGTTTTTGCAGACATATAAAGTTGGTGGATACTGTTATTTGTGACTGAAAACATGCTGTATTTGCCTCCTTCAGGGCTTACTTTGTTTTTCCTTTACTTTATATTTATTTGTCAAGGGATGGTTGGTAAGCAAGACATCCTCTTATTTCCATTTTGAGATTGAATTTATGTGAATTTATTTTTATGAACCAGACAATGTTTGAAAAATCAAATCTTTATCTTTGCACCCCACAGGTTCAGGTGTCTTTGGCTGTCCCAGACAGCCTTTTATCTCCCTCTACATGTCCCTGTATGGGATCATACCGGTCTTCTTGGCACTGAGCTTATGGTGTAACTGGTGCAACAGTGTCTGTTGGTCTGTAACCACCATCTTCTTCTGTTGCTGGTTTATTGCTGGTAAGCTTTTAAAAATATCACAGAGTTGGCTGGAGTGAGAACAAGATGGTTTCTTACTCCAAATCCTCCAAAATCTAACATGTCTTATTGATTTTAGAGATTTTGGATATCCTTAAAAGGGTCATCTCAGGCACACAGATGTGACTGTTAGCACAGATGCCCCCCAAAAAACTCCTTTAAAGCTTTTTTTGTCTTTCTGTCTTTGTTTGTTTGTTTTTTTTTACAGGTAGCATTGTCATCTACTCCATTTATGAACCCAAGTACGACAAGACTACAGCGCAGCCTGATCTCTACTGCAACAAGACGCTCTACCTGTTCGCATTTTGGTTCACCAACATGACATACATACTGTTAGCACTGCTCTTTTTATCCTATTGCTGTTGTAGACGACGAGGTGATGGTGATAATGAGACTCAAACACTTGTGCGGTAATAAATACAGATGAAGCAAACTTAATTGAAAAGATAATCATACACTGTAAGTTAAATGAGGGCAAATTGTGCATTTAAAGGCAGTTTTCCTGTGTTTCTTATGTAGATATAATCAAATGTTCTAATGAGCAATGTACATGTTTGATCTTTTATCAGAGAAGAATGACAATTTATATTTTAAGTAATTAATGTTGGAGGTTTACTCTTTTTAAATACTTTTGCAGCAGTACTCTGTTACGTAATGACATCCTTAGATATGAATAATATCCTTTTTTTCCTTCCCATTGATTCTCTAATAGGTCAGTTTTATGAGCTTGTGTGAGGCTGAATACTGAGGAAACATCGAAATACTTAGAGAATATATCTGTTGATCCAGTAACAAAATCAGAGAAAGCACAGAGTCTTGAGTGAAATGATCATTAATCATAAGTAATACATGTACATAAAAATGTCAAGTCAAAGTGTACTGTGCCTTTACATTTTTCCAGGAAGATCAGAAATAGGTCCACGGATTTATTAAAATGTACAAACATACAAGGAAACAGACAGTATCCAAGGCAAGAACGTTTTTATAGTTTTAACAAGCCTGAAGGTCAATATTTGGTATGATAACCTTTATTCCTCAACACGGGCTTTCTTTAAGTAGTCTTCAGGAATAGTTCTCCAGGCTTCTTCAAGGACATTCAAAGCTGCCCTTTGTTCTTTTTTTCTGTCAAGATGATTGTATCGCCCTCATTGGTTCAAAAATACATTTACAAAAAATATATTTTGATCAATCTCAACAGTCAGAGAATCTACAGTCTGTAATGATTATTAATCATTGGTTACAGATGTAACTCTTCATTGGTGCAAGGATACCATTTTATGTCTGTCAAATTGTTTTATCTTTGGTATTTTCAATAGATTCAACAGAAAAAATTGAAATAATTTATGTGTTTGTGTGGCTGGCTTTGGTTTTTTTGTTATGCATAGACACAACACAGCCTTTTTCATGCTTGAATGACTCACAGATCGGCGTTAAGTTGCTTAATAAACAACAACAACAACTAAAAAACATCTCTAAATGTAAAAGGAATGAAAATAAATGAAAAAGCAGCCAATATCCAAAGTCTGACTGCTTAGAAATACATCATAAAGAAACAAGGCGTGGCTAAAGACCTTTACACAGTGCTGAATTTGATGTATTTTAATGTTTTATGTCTATGTTAATGTTACAAAATGCATGCTGTCCTAAAATTAACATGAATAAAATATTATTTTTAAAAATGACTGTCCTTATCTGACACTATCTTCTCTAATCCTGGTCAGCTGTTAAAAGAATGATACTGTCATAGTATTTTTCACACTCAACAATGAATTAAAAAAAAAGATTCATGGTGGGAACTAAAACAGGGCATGTATTTTAGAAAAACAGGCAAACCTCGTTCTGTGGAGAAATACGACATAAAAATGTTTATGTAGCGAGGTCTTAGTGGGTTAGGACAAATGAGAGGAAGTGTTCCTCTCCTGAGGTTTTGCTGTGACAGACACGCTGTCAGTGATGTTTTTCTCTGGTCTGTGAATGCAAAAGAGCTCCTTAGAAATAAATGTAAAAAGAATTTTATGTAATGTTGCTCACATACAAACAAATGACTAAAAACATAATTATCTCAGCAAATGGCTGGATGAAAAAGAATACTAAAACAAAAAAAGAAAGTGAAAGATGCTGTAAAAGGAAGTTGAAGCAACATGCTCACATGCCCATGTTATATGTGGCCATGTTACTGCAAGAGTCCCTTTCAAGGAAGTCCTGCCAGACACACAAACAGGTTGGTCTGCAACAGTCTGTATAACGCTTTCAGCTTTCACACTTTAATTTGCTAACTATTTTGACACAGGTACGATGTTTACAAGCTTTCTAAAGTGGATTTCTTATAGAAATATCTGTTTGTTGAACTTTTTTGGGTATCCAATAACTATTTAGATTTTAGAATTAACAATTTTCTCTTTCACAGACTACTATTTGTGATTTGAAATTCTTCTGTACGCTGCAAAAGACAATTAGTAAAAAGTAGGTAACGCTATGCTTTTACATTATCAGGTTTTTCCTTCATTTTAAATCATACATTGTAATTTTATTCATGTGTTATATCATGGTATGTTTCCATTTATTACTTAACAGTATAACAGAAATATAAAGGGGAGAATATCTTGTGGCTTTCTTTGTGTCATTTTAGGTCTGATTAAAAAATAGTTACACGTCCTTCTGGCAGACTTACAACGTAAAAAGGATTTTTTAAAAAAAGTAAAATTCATTGTCTTTCTTCAGTCTACCTGTTTTTATTTGCCAATTTAACAGATGAATGTCTTTTGTGTCTTTTTAGGAGATATAAAACTAGAAATAATGCCAGAGAGTGAAAGACCAAAATGCACCTCCGAACCTCGAACAACAATATTAGGTGAGAGGCTGATGTGGAAATTCTTCCACACATGTGCAGACGGTGCATAGTGTCATGTGGGACTCACTGTATCTGCTTTTCTTCAGGGTGTATCCTGGTGATTTCCTGCATCATGTTCATTGCTCAAGTAATAGCTGGTAAGCGAGAGACACTGTTATTGTAATAATCAGATTAAATTCATTGGAGTTTATTTTGTGTAACCAAAAATAAGAAAATGAAAAATAAATAACCTAAATTGTGTATTAAAACTTTATGAAGCAGATTCAGTGACATTTGTTTCTCTTTCGTCCCCGTACACCACAGCTTTAGCAACTGATGAATGCAAAGGAGAGTTCTACATCCCCATATGCATCTATAATTATGGATTCATATCTGCATTTCTGGCACTGAGCATGTGCACAGCGAAAAGAATGCAGCAGTTTCCAATTACACCAAGAAAGCAGTTGCTGTACCTGCTGCACCGAGGGCGGTGCAAGTGGTGTAACATAGGCTGTTGCTCTGTGCCTCTCCTCGTCGTCTGTTTCTTTTACCTTGGTGGTAAGCTTTAAAAATGTTCTAACAGCAGCACACACTTGTTTTAAGAAATATTGAAAGATGGAATAAGCAACAACTGAGAAAAATCTAATTACATGGTAACCAAAAACAAAACAAAACGCAGAGCTGCTGTTGAAATTGCTTAAATCATGAGTTGTTTTTTCTGTTTTTCCTGTCATAAACGCTGCTCAAAAAGAAACACTTTTTAATCAGAGTGTAGCATCAAGTCAATTAAGCTTTAAGTAGTGTCCCTACTGGTAGCATGAGGTGATAGCTGGACCCCAGAGGTGTAAAAAGTACAGACATTTTTTATTTATGTAGAAGTACAGATACCTGTGTTTTAAAATGCTTCAGTAAATGTTGAAGTACTTATATAATTTCTTTACTTAAGTAAAAGAGAAAAAGTACAGGCAAGTTATGCTCTGAATAGTAATAAAAAAAAACAAACAGGTTTTTAGTTTATATTGATCTTCAATGAATGAGTTACTGTTGTTGTTTTTAACAAGAGTCATTGTTTTAAAAGTTCTTTCTTACATTTATGTCATTTTGAAAACAAATGCACTACAGCAGTATTTTAAATATTTTTACAGTCAATGTGTTCATCTACTCGGATATAAAACCCAACTTCAATAAGAGCGTAACCACAGGCATTATCTACTGCAACAAGACATTCTACCTGTTTGCATTTTGGAGCACCAACCTGACCTACGGCCTGTTGGGGCTGCTGTTCATCACTTTTTGGTGTTGTAAACGACAAGAGCCTGAGGGCGATGATGAGGCTCAAATACTCGTCTAGCATTACCAGATTAGGATCCTATGGTTCACTGTATATGAAGTCTAATGTTCGTACTTTTTTTGTTTTTAAATTTTTTTTTTAAACTTCTAACAGGTTATTATATTGCAACAAAACTATTACTATATGTTTGGTTTTGCCTCTTGAAAAATATTTGTTTCTACATTATTATTACCAGTTTCTGTGGCGTTTTTACATACATTTCAATGTAATGTTACTTAGCCATAACCACTGTTGATACCAGGTAATTACTATTGTATTGTATTTGACCAAATTCCTCTGTATTTTGTTTAAACCTTTAGTTTACATATACATGTATAATGTATATACACATATACATTATAAGTTTACATATATTTATCTACAAAAACATTAGAAACAGCAGATCAGGGGAAGAATAATTCAAGGCTTTGGATGAAAAAGTAAATATACTGAAAGAAATTTAAGTAGTTGGTAATTTTCAGGTATTTTAGAGGTGGGAAAATCCTTTGAGGGTAGTTAGCCATATGATATAGTGGCTCAATGTTATCTTTTTACATTTTTATTATGAAATATATTGTTGTGCGTCCTGCCTCTCACCCTATGACAGCTGGGATAGGCTCCAGTCCTTCTGTGACCCTGAATGTGCATCATGACTATTTACCTACTACTAAAACTACAAAACACTGAAATAACATAAACTGAGAAAGATTTCAATGGATTTTTTTTATTTAGATGCAAACCCAAAATTGAACACAGCAGAATTAACAACAATCTCTAGACCTTTCTGACTGAAGCCTGAGAAGCAAAAGGTCTAGAGACTTGTTGGTGTCCCCCTGGAAAGCTCCAGTCAGTTGGTTGCGAAAGGCTGGGGGCAGTTGCTAGGTGAAATTGGTTTCAGGTAGGTATACCGTGCCGGACCAAAAACCTTCTTGTGTTTCCTTTGGATGCAAGCAGATTGCTGCAGTCCCCAACAAGAGCCAACTTGCAACAAAAGGCGTTGGTCGCAGCAGTAAGGAGCAGCTGTTATTTTGAAGGTGTTACACATTTAACATTACACCTCTGAACAAAGGGGAGAAACACAAGTTTTACTGTAGTGAACTTATTTTGACATATACACAATTTACAGATGGCTTCATTAAAAAACATTTACGGTGGAATTTAGAAATGTACATAGACTTGTATAAACCTTAAACATGTTGTGGTACTCTGGTGGTATTGATGATTTTTGTTCTTTTTATTTCCTTCATTTAACATGTTTGGTTCTCTGATACAGCCCTGATATTTAAGCAAAGTGCACAAATGTTCACTATGCATGTGGTCAGTGTTTTGGTAAAACTATTCAAGAAACTTATAGCTTAGAGATTCATTATAGAGAAATGCACAAGAAGAATCTTCACGAACAGCAATTTCTCAGTGTTTGTGGTTTTGCTTCCAAGTCCTGGTTTTGGTATTTGGGCCTTTGAACAGAGTAAGAATAAATATTAAGCTAGCTGTGAGTTCAAACATTAAATATGGAATGTAATTATACTCTATATTATACTGGGACTATGTTGATTTTATACTGAATTGCTTTACTTTTAATAAAATGGAAAACATTTTCTGTTGCATATAAAACCTTCTTTGACCAATTATTTTTACTGGATCATTGCAGAAAGAGTCTGTAGTCCCATGTTTCCAGAGGGTGGAGGACATGTTTTCTGTACAGAAACAATTACATGTGAAGGACTGCAGAGTGATCAGCATACTTCTCCAAGATGGCGTGGGCTCTTAAGCTAAAACAAAAGTGAACAGGTACACGATGGATTCGTTGCAGAAATGTGCCCAGCTTCTCACAGTTAGTTTGCAAAATGTGGCATCGACACAGACTGTCCAGATAGTCCAGATCATCAGCAAAGAATTAAACAAATGTTGTATGAGAAGGAACAGCAGGAGGAAATACAACAATACTTGCAGTGTAAACTTCAAAATGTGGAAGC